GAGTACGTACTGTACGTACGTACGTACCATAAATAAAAAAAAAATGACATGTGATAAGTGTTTTAGTTTTCGACATGTTTCTGGAGACTTCTTTGGTAAATCATTTTCGAGGATCAGAGGAATAATAGGCTATCTTTACTTAATAAAAACTAATTTAGTGACAAATTGATGAATTAATCAATAGATGAAAAATCTATCTGAATCTGATAAATTCAAACTAACACAAAATTAATATGAATCTAACTGATTATTTCTTTTTTTATGATGGCTTTTCTTGTTATATCTTTAAATCACAAAACAATCTTTTCGTTTTTACCCAATGCTTTAAAGCTTTAAATATCGGACAATGTGCATATAAATACGTACCGATGTTCTTTGCGTGTGATCTGCATGTGATATCACATGCAATTTACGCATGAGAATTAACTATAAATTAATTCTCACACCCAAAATTAATTCTCTTTAGAATTTCTCTAAAATCATGTTTTATCACAATGTCTTGGAAATAATAGAATACTTGATAGAGAGTCGATGTTTCATTACTTCCTTTTTTTCAATAATCTTCGCTAATATTATAATTATATTCTTTAAAAGATTATTTGCAGCTTTCTTTAAACTTCCCGGTATTGCACTAATAATTCGACTCATCAAAAAGTTTGCTGAATTATTACCTTCCGATAATTCTAGTCCTACAAGACTCTACAGCCCATACTTATTGTACCCTGTTGTATTTGATTGGACTTTGAAGGATTTCCACGAAATATATAATAATACACATTCTACAAGAAGTGGTCTGTTCGTTTTACCTCCACCTGATAATATTAAAAGGATTTCCGGTAAATCACAACCTATTCATCGTTGGCGTATCTATCTCAAGAGTCATCAGAGTCAGAAAAAAACTTTTATATCTTTATTTTTGGAAGCAAATAAGACAAAGTTCGAACAAACCCATGGATTACAAACTAGAATTGCTAAGTGGAAGTTCGAAATGTTCCGCATAAACGGTTCTAAAAATATGTCAAAATGTGCTGAAAAAGTTGCTGAACATGAATTTCATCTATCTTCTAAAAATCCTAATTGGGGTTGGTCCGAATTTTGTGAATTAAGCATTATATTTCCTAATGGTACCATTTCTGAGAAAACTGATTTACTGA